TTTTGTCTCTCATAGTTGAGGTATACCTATGATGAAAATTACAGGCCTCTCTCATCTTTTTAAGTGGGAGAACTTGCACAATTGGTGGCTGACTAAATACTTTTTTGCCCCACTGTATATTGCATAGACCTTTACAGTCCCACCTATCCATCCTTTGTATCCTTTACACTTTTTAAGACAACAGAGAGTATCAAACAGAAAATTTGGGATATAGACCCCCGAAGGCACAGAAGCTCTGTTTCACATTGTCTGGAGGATGGGCATCATTATAAAAATTTTACTTCAGTAAAACAGTTTTCTAGTCTTGTAGTATCCAAATGCTGGAGAGGTCTTGCTTTGGACCATTTTTATGTGCTTCCTTCTGTTGCAATCGAGAGACTTGCACTAATATTCCTTCTTTAATAGCTCTGTGTCAAATAGAGATAGTTGAAGCAGCACACAACATTTTGTTATAATGTCTGTTTTATAAGGATATTTGTACCTTTTTTTGTTACCCCATATAATAAATATTGTCTGAGTAGTAGCAGGGGCAGATGGTTAAACCTATATAATTAATTATAGCAGGAACATAGGCTGTTTATAATGAAAGAGTTCTCTGAATTTTATAGTTCGTTCTTTCTTTCTTTTCTCCCCCAGAGAGAAATTGTCTTATTTGTATTTTTCCTACTTTGTACATAGATCATAAACAAATGGTTGATTAATTAATGATTAATAATTCAGTGAGCTTTACGGGTAATTTTAATTCTTAATTCCAAAACCTAAATGACAGTACTGATTCAAATGTGATGATTTGAGGGGGAAAACCATCAAAATGTTATCACTGTTTTGATGCAATGTAAATTTACTAAGCATCTTCAATATAGGATAAATAGTGAAGCTTTTAGAATTCATGTGTAAATACATTGAAAATGATATGCATGTGTGATTCTCAGATTCTAAGAAATTGATGTATAGCTGTCACAAACTTGGTTTTTTAAAATTGCTGTTAAGAAATACATAACAAAATAGTAACTATAATACCCATTTCTTTTTCTTTTTTAGGCTTGGGTAGCAAACTTTGAACGACCTCGAATGAATGCAAATTCGCTTCTTGCAAGTCCAACAGGACTTAGTCCTTATCTACGTTTTGGCTGCTTATCCTGCCGCCTGTTTTACTTCAAATTAACAGACTTGTACAAAAAGGTATGAACTGACCACCTGGAATTATCAGTATTTATCTGTGATAAGACATGTATTTAAAAACTGGGTTTTTATTATATGTCATGATTTACAGGTGAAGAAGAACAGCTCTCCTCCTCTTTCCCTCTATGGCCAATTGTTGTGGCGTGAATTCTTTTACACAGCAGCAACTAACAATCCACGATTTGATAAAATGGAAGGCAATCCCATATGTGTGCAGATTCCGTGGGACAAAAATCCTGAGGCTTTGGCCAAGTGGGCAGAGGGTAGGACAGGATTCCCTTGGATTGATGCCATTATGACCCAGCTGCGCCAGGAAGGCTGGATCCATCATCTTGCCAGACATGCTGTGGCATGCTTCTTAACCCGAGGTGATCTATGGATTAGTTGGGAAGAAGGAATGAAGGTACATTTTTCTTTTAATTAATGCATTTTGGTATTGCCCTTAAGATTTCATTTTGATATCTCAGGTTTGTAAATGTTTCTAAATAACCTTAAGACAAGCTGTATTACAGTCAGTTTGTACAAAATAAGCTATGTCTATATATAGTTGATTCTTCTGCAGAACATGTTGTATGTAACTCCTTTTATTATTAAAAGCCTTGATATATTTGCTTCTTTAACCAAAATAAAAAACCATCCTTTACTTGCAGTTCTGAAGCCACATTAAACACTCTTGGACTGAGTTGTGAGGAAATATACAGTGGGGCAAAAAAGTATTTAGTCAGCCACCAATTGTGCAAGTTCTCCCACTTAAAAAGATGAGAGAGCACATTGTCTGATTTTTAAAGAATTTATTTGCAAATCATGGTGGAAAATAAGTATTTGGTCAATATCAAAAGTTCATCTCAATACTTTGTTATATATCCTTTGTCCTCTCTCATCTTTTTAAGTGGGAGAACTTGCACAATTGGTGGCTGACTAAATACTTTTTTGCCCCACTGTAGTTTGGAGTTTCCTCTCTCATCTTTTTAAGTGGGAGAACTTGCACAATTGGTGGCTGACTAAATACTTTTTTGCCCCACTGTAGTTTGGAGTTTCCTCTCTCATCTTTTTAAGTGGGAGAACTTGCACAATTGGTGGCTGACTAAATACTTTTTTGCCCCACTGTAGTTTGGAGTTTCCTCTCTCATCTTTTTAAGTGGGAGAACTTGCACAATTGGTGGCTGACTAAATACTTTTTTGCCCCACTGTAGTTTGGAGTTTCCTCTCTCATCTTTTTAAGTGGGAGAACTTGCACAATTGGTGGCTGACTAAATACTTTTTTGCCCCACTGTAGTTTGGAGTTTCCTCTCTCATCTTTTTAAGTGGGAGAACTTGCACAATTGGTGGCTGACTAAATACTTTTTTGCCCCACTGTAGTTTGGAGTTTCCTCTCTCATCTTTTTAAGTGGGAGAACTTGCACAATTGGTGGCTGACTAAATACTTTTTTGCCCCACTGTAGTTTGGAGTTTCCTCTCTCATCTTTTTAAGTGGGAGAACTTGCACAATTGGTGGCTGACTAAATACTTTTTTGCCCCACTGTAGTTTGGAGTTTCCTCTCTCATCTTTTTAAGTGGGAGAACCTGCACAATTGGTGGCTGACTAAATACTTTTTTGCCCCACTGTAGTTTGGAGTTTGCTGCAACTGTAGTTAATGTGAAACCTGTGGGGTAAATTGCATATAGTTGCTGTCAACAGCAATAAATGTTATATAACGTAAACCAGTTTAGCTAAGTAGCAGCACCTAGTGGCAAGCCAACACATTATAATTCACACGCTCACTCTCCTTTAGCACATTAAAACGTGCATGATAAGTGTTTAATAGAACACAAACAGGCTAATCCTGTGGATTGGATTATGCTGTAGTACTGTGAGTAGTTGTTCGTGCTAGTGGTTCTAAATCTCATTCTGTTTCCAGCAGTGTATTTGCATCATCTGTTTTTATAACTATCTAAGCTACGTTGAATCTTTTCTGCAGTTAAATAAGTTGCCTGTTGACTTTGCACATTTCATAAGTTTACTGTATAGAGTATGTATTTCTCCTCAGCTTTCTCCTATATGCTTAGACATGGATATTTTAAAAGCCAGCATGCAAATAAATTGCTACTTGAAACTCTATTCCCTGAAAAAAAGTAAATATGGGGCTACATTAATTCAGTGGTTTTTGTTTTTTGGCAGGTATTTGAAGAATTGCTTCTCGATGCAGACTGGAGTGTGAATGCAGGCAGTTGGATGTGGCTGTCTTGTAGCTCATTTTTCCAGCAGTTTTTCCATTGTTATTGTCCTGTGGGTTTTGGCAGAAGAACTGATCCTAATGGGGACTATATCAGGTTAAACACCATTATCAGTTTAAAATGAAACATTTTAAGTAATTAAGACAAACCATAAAAATGATGGAAACTATTTTCTTTCTTTCTTTTTAATTAAGACGGTATCTACCTATACTCAGAGGTTTTCCTGCAAAGTATATATATGATCCTTGGAATGCCCCAGAGGGAGTCCAGAAAGCTGCAAAATGTATAATAGGAATAAATTACCCAAAGCCAATGGTAAATCATGCTGAGGCAAGTCGATTGAATATTGAAAGAATGAAACAAATCTACCAGCAACTATCCCGATACAGAGGATTGGGTATGATGAAAAGCTTTGCTTTCAGTTTCTACGTTCATGACTTTTGGCCTGAAACTCTTAATTGCTAAAATCCTGGTATAATATTTATAATTGGCTGACTGAAGAATGCAGTTATTTGTCTTGCACTTTTCTTTAATGTTAACCTTTTTTAAAGTTGTAAGTTTAACATTAATGAAGGGCTAATATATTAACATCAGATTATCAGCTCTATTCCTTTCATGGTCAGAACATTGCAGTGACTTCTTGTCAGCCCCAATAGTTAGACCAGACCAGGAAATCAATTCCATAGAAAGGCTAAAACTATTTTTATTGAGATTGGCTATAATAATAGAATCTTGCAACTCTATGCTGTACCTCCTCCTTCATATAGTTCAGTGAATTAGGGAGGTGTCTATTTGAGCCACTTCTGAATGTTATTTCATTCTGGATTTTAAAAGGGCTTCAGCCCCTTTTGCATAGAAAACATTCTGTCAAGGTCATCTTCCTTACCCTCTACACTTGTAAACTTCTCTGCGAAGCCACATACCTAGTGTAGAATGAACATGAAGTAACCACATCTTTCATTTAGAGGATAGGGAATATAAGTTGTCATCTTTACCACCTTTTATAAAGTGTTATGTATGACACTGTTTTTTCTTCCACATACAGTGGTGCTTAAAAGTTTGTGAACCTTTTTGAATTTTCAGTATTTCTGCATAAATATGACCTGAAACATATGTTCTCAATACAAGTCCTAAAACTAAAGAGAACCCAATTAAACAAATGAGTCAAAAACATTATACTTGTTCATTTATTTACTGAGGAAAATAAATAAGAGTTTGATTTTCCTGATGCTTTGTAATATTTTATTGTTGGATGTTGAACAGATAATTGAATCTAATTTTGTAACCCATCCTGGCATTTTCGGTAGCCAATGCATAAAACTTTGAATAATACTTTTTATTCACTATGTTCAACTTAAAAAAGAAGAAAGCATTGACATTTTTTATTTTAAAAACAGAGTTAACCATTATTTAGGGAGAATTTCCTTTCTTTCCATGTTAAGGATCAGTTTATTATTAACATTCTTAATTATTATTTTTAGTATTGTTGTCTTGGTCTTTCTGAGTGACCATTCCAACATTATAGATTTTAGTTTAAAATACAGTCTCTGTTTGTATGGGATTGATTTTTTAAAAAAATAATGCTTTACTCCAATTGTTAGTGGGAAAATCCACTCCTTTTTTGGTTGATCTGCAAAGAGGGCCAGAAACAAAGAAGCCCCCCAAAGCCTATACTTCATTTTGAGGCTAGTGCATTTTGTTTTGATTAGGCCTCCTTGCTTCAGTGCCTTCTAATGGAAATGGAAACGGAAACGGAAATGGAAACGGAAATGGCGGCCTAATGGGATATTCTCCAGGGGAAAATCTCCCTGGTTGTGCAGGTGCAGGTGCAGGTGGTAAGTTACTCCTATGTTAGAAAAGCTAAGCAGCATAAATAACAAAATCTATTTAACTGTCCGTCAGCATTACAATAACAAGCTTTCTGAAGCCAAAATTTTAATATCACATGACACTTGGAGCAATTCAATTATGGAAATATTTATAATTAAGCACACTGAATTAGTCAAGTTAGAATACCCACATGAAGTGTACTGGATCAAAATGCTGAGGAATAGGCATAGTAGGGAAGTTTCAGTATATTCCCTTAGCTTGGCAAACAGATTACCAGAGAATGTGGAAGATTCAGAATGACATTTCCCCTTTTTTGCTTCTTGACATAGTGTCCATTGCTGCCAGGCCTTTAATTTTAAGGAAGTAGTACACAGATATTAATCCTTAACTGGTCTATTCTTTGGGCACACAATCAGGCACCAGATTGGATTGAACTGGCAAACATTTAGTTGGTGTGCTTCACCAACCTTTGGTTATTCTTCCTACCGCTTTCTTCCTCCAGAATATATAACTTATACACCTCTAAAGTAATAAGTAATGGATATATAAGCATGGATCCTTAACAAGGAAGGGAAATGGAGGTATATGTTTCATTCTGCTTCATACAAAATACATATTGTTGATGATAACTAATAGTCTTTCACAGCAGGGAAGAAGTTTTAATTTATTCTATATCTCTTTTGAATTAACGATACAGGGTTCCCCTGTCATTTTGGCTTGTAGGCACCTTTCGAATTTTACAAAACAATTGCTAAAAAGAGTCTAGTCCATCCACATAATGACTGCCATGAGGATGTAATATTTATTGGAATGCTACCTGTCATGTTCTCTAGAGTTTGGTTTTTTTCCTCCTCTCCTCTCCTCTCCTCTCCTCTCCTCTCCTCTCCTCTCCTCTCCTCTCCTCTCCTCTCCTCTCCCCTCCCCTCCCCTCCCCTCCCCTCCCCATGCTCCCTGGATACTCCATACTACAGCCATGTGAAAAAGTAATATACCCCATGTAAAGTTTTTTCTTTTTTAACATATGTGAACATATCAATATTTTACCTTCATTCAAACAATATATAAAAGTGAGGTAATTAAACAAAAAAAGCTATGAAAAGTTGACTTTGCAATCATTTATTCAACAAAAAATTAACAGATATGTCATTTCCTTCTGTGGAAAAAGTAAGTACACCCTTGGTTCTAATACTTGATATCGCCCCCTTTGGCAGAAACAATGTCAAGTAGGCCTTGTTATAACTGTCTACTATGACTTTGGGAGGATTTTTTTCCTATTTGTCCATGCAGAATTTTTTCAGCTATGCAATGTTTGAAGGGTTTCTTGTACGCACAGCCTGTTCAGATAACTCCACAGTATCTTGATGGAATTTAGATCTGGGCTATGACCTGGCCATTCCAGCTAGCTAGCTAGCTAGCTAGCTAGCTAGCTAGCTTGCTTGCTTGCTTGCTTGCTTGCTTCCTTGCTTCCTTCCTTCCTTCCTTCCTTCCTTCCTTCCTTCCTTCCTTCCTTCCTTCCTTCCTT